GTTTGGTGGCGGCATGACGGATGCCGAGGAGGCCGACATGGCGGCGGCTGCTGCAGCAGGAACGACAGCGCGCGGCCGCAAGGGCTCGAGGTGCGCGCTCTCTCTCTCTCTCTCTCTCTCTGTCGAGGACGACTGCCTCGAAGAGATGCACTTGGAACTAACACCCTCTTTCTTTTCTTTTTCTCGTAGGCGGCGCCAGGAATCCCTTCAACCACGACGCGAGCATCTGGGACGGCGACGGCCCGCACCGCTCGGCCGGCGGAGGCGGCGGCACGACGAGCGCCAGCGACGCGCGCGCGCAGCGGCTGGCGGACCTCTTCCGACCGCCATACGACCTCATGTCGACGGCCGAGTGGGACGACGCGCGCGAGCAGGGCAAGGAGGACAAGAAGTGGCTGCTCGTGAACCTCCAGGACAACAGCATCTTCCAGTGCCAGACGCTCAACCGCGACGTGTGGAAGGACGCCGCCGTGCAGCGGCTCGTGCGGGAGAGCTTCATCTTCCTCCAGTACGCCAAGAACTCGTTCGACGCGCAGCAGTACGTGACGTTTTACTTTCCCGGCGCCAGCCACGAGAACGCCGACAACTTCCCGCACGTCGCCATTGTCGACCCGCGCACGGGCGAGCAGGTCAAGGTGTGGAGCGGCGTGCCGTTCCCGAGCGCCGACGACTTCCACGCGCAGCTCGCCGAGTTTCTCGACCGCTACAGCCTCGACGCCAGCAAGAAGAACCCCGTCGCCAAGGACACGGCGAAGCGGCCCAAGGTCATCGACGTCGACCGCATGACCGAGGACGAGATGCTCGAGATGGCGCTGCAGAACAGCATGAACACGTCGGGCGGCGCCGCAGCCAGCGCAGGGGCAGGAGGAAGCGGCAGCGGCACGGCCAGCGGCACGGCCAGTGGCACCGCCAGTACGCCGAGGTCCAACGTTGTCGACCCCGACGCGCTCACGAAGGAGGCGGCAGCAGCAGCAGCGGCAACGGAAGCAGCGGCCACAGACGCAGAGGTGCACGGCACAGCAGCAGCGAGCGGCTTCGCGCGCATCGCCAGCGACAAGCCGCATGTGGAGCCAGCCAACGACCCCAAGACGACAACGCGCATCCAGTTCCGGCTGCCGACGGGCGGGCGCGTGATCCGGCGGTTCAGCGTCGACGACCCCGTGCGGCGCATCTTCGAGTGGCTCAAGGCCGAGCCGCTCGAGGGCAAGGCGGGCGTCGACTTTGAGCTCAAGCAGATGCCGCAGGGCCAGGACCTGCTGCATCGCGCCGACCAGACGATCCTTGAGGCCGGGCTGAAGCAGGGCACGGTCATGGTGGAGTTTCTCGAGGAGTAGTTTTTCTGTTTTGTCCTCGTTTACACACACACACACACACACACACATCTCGGCGTCTTCGTTTTTTTTTTTTTTTTTCATTCACTTTTTTGCTACTGGCATGACGACCAAGGGAACTGGCAACGTGGTTCGCAACGGACGTGGGCACGACGATCATAGACTAGGCTCGCCAAAGGGATGAGCAGGACGGCAATGGATGTTTGTTTTGTTTGTTATGCTGGCTTGCCCTGCTCCGGTTGACCTTACGACAAGATGCAGGCCGCCTCCCTGTTTTCTGT